GACTTTCGTCTGTATGAGTTGTTGTTGCGTATTTTAATAATAATGACAGAAGACAACACACAAGAGGGTTAGTACTGCTGCCAAAACACTCGAACGATACTGAAGGGAGGAAAATCTTAGCTTTAAGCTAAAAATTGATCCGTATATATGGTGTAAAGTGAATGATTGGAAACAGGCATGCGAGTGGCCATCTTTAAAAAGAAAAGGCTTCTTATGAGCTGAAGTAGTCAGACGTCCGTGTGAATAATACCAGTTGAATGTGAAGTTCAGTGCAAATCAAACCCCCCCTTGTGGGGCTTGGGAGGGAAAGCCTGCCTCCGTTCAAAACCTCGTACCACAGACAAACAGACGTAACTCTTTGAAAAAGTTTTTCTTGAAAACATAGTATCTCAAAACATAGAACCTCAGTAACGACATCTCTCAGGCTTCTCGCGGAAAACAAGCTTGCTCCCTAACTCTCAAACAATATTGCATGAAAGTTCTATAGAATGTATAGAAACATCAAAGTGATCCGATGCCAGCACTGCGGCGAGTAGTTCGCGAAACTGATAATTCTCAAATCAACCGTTAAATGCGTGAACGAAGATACACAATGAAGAGTTACGTCTGTTTGTCTGTGCTCGTACCATAATATTAAACGGTCTCACACGGTGGCTCGGAAGTCAAGATGGCTTCCGAGCCTAATTGCAAAAGAACCTTTGTCGTTCTCAAAGGCCGACTCCCTCAAAGGCCTGCAGGCCTTAATCGTCAAGGAGGATCCCTTCTCATCTCGATCAATGTGGCCATGCCACGGTCTGCCGATTTCCGCCAACGAAGGAAGACGCCTGCCAACCAAAGAATCCAGCAACGCCTGCTTTGCCGTATGTGGCTGACGAAAGAACCGCCATTGTCCCAATTCAGTGGCAAACCATTAATTGCAGCCCGTGGCGCAAGTTTCCGGCCACACAGTAGTGCAGGAGCAGCCGTGTGGGCCAACGCCAGCGTCGCGACGCCATAGGAGATCCCGCTACAGTATCTAGCTACACATATCTGTTAAAAAAAACCCCATCCACACGCCACAGAAAATGGCCAATACATAAGTTAGAAAATGTGAATATTCATGTGTTTTCATACTTTGTACCGCGTCCCTTGATCACCCAGTAGTAAGTCGACTCTGAGACCCTGTTCGAGGAGTCTCTTGCTACTGCTGTGCGCAACATATGGCGGTAGTGTTTTAGTGACGATATTTTACAGTGTTGTCTATGTGTCTGTGATGCAACTATAATTAGAACTATATGTTTTATACATAGGGAGTTCGATCCATTCAATTGGGAGTTTAATATGCTACAATGAAACAATCAAATTGACATTCCATTTATTCAATTACAACGTTTGCTATATCATAGATTTTTGATTGAGCACAGCTAAAGAACAGTTCACAAAGTTAACTTAAATAAGTTTTAATTGAAAGCCACTTGTCTGTCATAGTTCTGCAAGATAAATATTTGTGATGTCAGTGGAACTTTGATTTCTAAAGTTGTTTTACTTTCACTAACATTACTAAATTTCCTAAAGTCGGGTGAACATGTTTGGAACGTAATTTTGAATAATAAAGGAACTGATCTTCTAATTTCAAAAATTGAATCTTAATTTTAGGATTTATTCAATAACCACCGAATTTCAAAAATTTAAATAATTAATCGTTCATTTTGGCGATAAATTTCTAATCCATTTATTTTGCTATTAACATATCATTGAATTGAGCCGCAAAAAAAAATCTTCTAGTAATACGTCTACAATGCGGTTGTGCTTTGGACCCAACCCTCAACTTTTATTTCAGTAGCATTATTTTAAAACAAGAGAATAATTTTGAAAATATTGTAATTATTCTTTATAAATTAAATTGACGTTTGTTTGGATATTAGAGTCTTCCAAATTTGTCCAGATTTTATGTTTCAACTGTACCAGATTTTCCTGTCCACAGTGAGTATCTAAGTCACTACCCTCCCCTTGGCTAGTTTTTTAACCTGGACGTTGGTGGGCGGGCCTAATCTTATGCTTCATAGTGGAGCGTTGGAGATGGTTGGTTTAGGTTCGGCATCGTTGGCTCATGCCGTGACAGAATAGCGTCATGAGCATGCGATGAGGATTACTGAGCTTCCCCTCTCCGATGAACCATTGCATAAGAGGACCAAAGTTCTAGCCTGAAGTGATAGTATCACACTTGTTACTCCTTTATTTGAAAGCCGCGTTGTAGTACGCTTACGTATAGGCACTGACGTTGGGTGCGATACTGGCGGGTTTTGCCGCAAATCACTCTTATTTTATATATTTTTACGCAGATAGATTTATTTGGGTTTGCAAGGGAATTATACTATTGAAATATTTCAGAAAGTGCCCAACAGTGCTCCTTCTTCTTGCGTGACAAGCTTTCGTTGTTGTTTTCATTGAGGTATTACTTAGGGAACAATGTTAAACGCCATTTTTGTACATGGTATTGCAACTAATCTTATATGTGCTTCATTTTGATTTGGGATAAGTGTTTGAACTATGGCTCGGGATTTCCACTGTGACGTGCTTCTATTGTGACATAACCATACGTATTTTTGTGGTGCGACATAGTGGAAACGTGTGAGCGTAGTTGAAGCATATACCCTATGTAATTTAAAAATCAGCTAGAAAATAACTTCAAAATGAAGCATTTTAGTCACATGAAGGTGTCACCTGGGACGAACTAATCTATATTAAATATAGGTCAAAGTCAAAAACAACTTGAAACACGTTAAATTTTAGATTACATTCACAAGTGCAGGTACTTAATAAAGCATGGTAGGTAGATTAGAGATTTCAATTATTTATTAAATTAGACTAGAGATATCATAATCATCAAACGAACATAAATAAGAAAATTTAGACAGCCTAGTAGTATTAAGTGGATTAACAGAAGAGTTAGGATGCGGAGGGTCCGCTTAGGGAGGCAACTAGCCTTTTCATGTATTGTTTGTTTATTTTGATTATTGCTTTAAAATATCAATTTGGTATATATGTGAAAGGATGAATCAGTGGGAGATGGATTTTCGGTTTCTTTACATTTAGCATCACTATGTGTCATTTCCTCAAAACCCCCCAATAACCGGCCTCTTCAATCCTTTCCTTTTCCCATGGCGTTCAAGTGGTCCGCATAGACTATTCAGCCATTACCCGTCCTTTATCCTCGGCTTTGGATTGACTTGCGCTCCCATTGCCCCACCAAACGCTGCAAAATGAAAATGAAAATGAAACAGTGAGTATCTAAGTCACTATCCACTGCCGATAGACGCATAACTGTCCCACGTGTATATGAAATGCCATAGCACATGGGACAGTTATGCATTCACCGGAGTATATTACAAACAATTAGATTGAGATCATTATCTTCCTAAAACAATCACTTTGTTGAATGGTAATTTTCCATCTACATGATACTCGTGACTAGTGAACAGTTACTTTCCTTCTGGCATGTAGTTGTGCACCCGGTGCAAACCAGTTCTGCACCTTTGTACATTTACTTTTGTTTGACACTGACCGTTCGCAACTCTTGCCGGCTGTGGCGACACCATCATGAACCCTTCGTTTACCTTGGTCAGCCACAGCCCCGAAGAAGGTGAATTATTACCCATTTATTAAAATTAAAAAAAACCAGCGCCCTCGCATGCGAATATATTGGCGGAAAAGGATTCGATCGAGTAAGGGTGTTGCTGTTGGTGGTCTGGTGCGGGAGGGTGTGGGTTGCGATTATTATAGGTTGTAAAACCGATTATGTACCTAACAATTTTAAATGTTGGTTTCAAGGTTTTTCACTTGCCCTCATAGGCTTGGATCGATTTGATTTTCGTCCAAAATTGTTACACCTAACTACTTCACCTAATTATTACAATGTTGTCGTGATTAGCGTTTGCTTTTTATGAGCTATAAACCCACCATTCGCAGATTAATCACAGCATTTAAATGCCACATGCTCCGTCAAAACGTCAATTGCCGCAATAGCACGGCACTACTGCAATAAAGATCGATTCGGTGCGCTCTGGAGCGCGAACATAACTGCAATAGGTGAAACTGATTTGACCGGCAAACGCCCCGCAGACAGATATTTATTTCGTGACTAAGAGCACCCGAGAGAGTATCCTGCCTGATTAATCGTAATTGTTTCGCTTGTTAACTAGGTTTGTGCTGAAGAATTTGTCTTTGACACATCCGCAAAAATAGCGCCCCCTGATGCCCACGAGTAATTGCGAATTAACACCTTGGCCTTTTGAAAATTATAACATCCACGCTCAGATAGTTCTTGGAGGTCGACCGCCGCTACCACTCACTTACTTACCGATCGCGTATTGATCAACTTGCTGTGCGAAATACCAATCCCCCTCCTTTGTTTTAATGCATGTCTGTCTATTGTGGACTAGCGTGGAGGAGATCGGTAGGATAGATCCCAAACAACACACACACCCACCTCGCTGCAACCTGCCTGCCAGCCGTCAACAGTTACTAAGCATATGGCTCAGCTGGCCATGCTTTGTTGTGCTGAGTACCGGATTAGAACGAGAACAGTAGAACGGCGCCGCGCTGGAACACCCAGGGCCTGCTCTTGTCCAGGATCTTTGGTTACCGAACCGAGTGCGATTTGCTCTTTCATGTGATCATGCTCTTGCCTCAAGCTCACGTGGAACGTCGTAGAGAGCCGCTGATCGCACCCAGCAAATAATAAATACTTAAATAAGGCCCAATATCTTGGGCTTATGTTTCGCTCGCTCGCTGGCTCTCTCTCTCTCTCTCTCTTGCCTCTTGGCGGTGGATGTTTGCTTGGGACGGGACTGGGAGGCTTTTTCTTTTCCGTCTGTCGCCGCCACCGCCGACAACGACGACAACGACGAAGACGACGACGCTGGAAACCCTCGGAAAAACAAAAGAGCCCACTTGGTGGCACGCGTTCCGCAGTCTGCTCTTAGACGCGATCCCGTACGGTCGCGTGTTTTTGTCGGTATTTGGTAAGCGCTGACGTAACGCTGTTGAACTCCCATTTGTTGTGATCCCCGAGGTTGACAACAGAGAACCGTATCGTCGAGTTACGGAATCGCACAAGTAGTAGTTCGAATCGATTTGGCAAAGGTGTGTATGGGGCGACTATTGTGAGCGTGAGTTGGAATTGTTTCACGGTGGTTTCGGAGTTGTAACAGAATTTAAAGTCGCCGTTTGCTGTTGGGTAGTGCGACGAAGAAGAGTGTGCCAAAGCTGCGGATAAGATAAGCTGGATTATTTGATGCGATCGCTGAAACAAAAGATTATCGAAACGTGACAAAACGAGTGCAATTTGGTGGTAGTTTGGAAAAGTGTTGTACAATTGAATTTAATTAAAAAAAAAGAAGTTGATTGTGCTTGGCTAATCAGATTACCTGAATCGTCTTGAGACGAGAAATCAACACGGTAAGGTGGAGACGTAATGTAGCCATAATTGAGCTGGCGGGCGGTGCTATCAAACGAATCTGCTGTGGGCTGTGGACACGGTAGGAGGAGGAAGAGGAGGACATTCCGTGTGCCATTAAATGATTATGACGAGCGAATTGAAGTTGTGACCCGATTACGTTGTTAAACCAGATTGGAAACAGGCTTGCAGCGATGGGGAGCTTTAATTATTGTAGTGGATAACCTGGAGGGAAACGGTGTGGGCATGCCCGTTCAAAGGTGTCCGTTATCGAGTGTCGTTAAATTGCTTGTTTGAACTGGAGACTGAACAAAATGATACATTTAAGTCTGATGGGCTTTGGAAAGCTTCTGGCGTGACTGGAGTGCCGTTTCCGATTTAGATTGACTTAGACCGACATACAACTCTCTCTATAACTCGACATTCAAGGGACCATCGAGTTATGGAATTATAGAGTTATAGAATAACAATCCCGTACAAAATCGCCATCACAGTAGCCATGAAATTAAATTTTACAATGGTTCTATAACTCGATATCGAGTTAGGGGACATCGAGTTTTGGAGAGTTGACTGTAATTGTTTGTAATGTTTTTCTCAGGACAACATTTTTCCTCAATTCGATCATGTCATCGACTAAAATCTTCAAAATATGATATGTTGCCAGACGGATTACGGTTAAAGTTAAATTGACCTACATCCTAAGATATCCGGAACACATCTGGTACTGGCCAATGCACATTGCACAGTGACGCAGAAGGGTGATTTTAAGGAAAACAAAAATTAAAAAAGTTCACAGCGATGAAGTTTAATCAAGTGGGTGTCTTCATAAATAGAAGTTTTTAGTTGAAAAAAGGCGCATCTAAGCAGTTCCAGGCCAAATGACGAATCGGAGATACTCGACCTTCTCCAATGTGAATGAAACTTGGTTTTTGATCTTGGCAGGGCTGGTAGCAAGTCATTTTTTAGTGTCTAAGTCGCTATTTTCGAGTAAGTTACTAAAAAGTAACTTTTTTACGACTAATGTTGAGAGTTACGAATTTGCCTTGATGATTCAAGCTCGTTAGCTTCAAAATTTGACCAGATTATAAAATTTAATCTTTTTTCCTTTCCTGTGATCTTGACATTGATCTATCGTAAATTTTCTGAGGTTTCGAAACAAAATTCTAGACTCAATCTTTTTTTATAATGGGTTTATTTTTCCAGGCTCATTTGCCGCAGCTTTGCGAAGCCGATATTCATTGTTTAGATTACAAAATTACTTAAAACTAACGTTGGTAAAGCGGGGGCCGATTACTCGCGGCTATCTCGATGTTAGAGGTAACAAATTGTAACAAATGGATGGCAGGGTAGGGATTGAGAACACAAGGTTTGGAGAGCAATGTGCTCTTGAGAGCTCAATTCGATAGAAGTGCGAGTCTAACGAGCAGTGATAGGACATAAGACTTGATATAACGCGTATAAAGTCGCGGATCATGTCCAACCCTTTGAACCATGGTTTGTTCGACACCTGTGGGAGAATAGAATGTAACCATCTTCTCAAATCACCATCATTCCATTTTTGTTGCCAACTGATGAGGACTTGCTGACGAGCAATGGAGAAAAATTCGTTGAAGGCAATTTGTCGCTCAAAAATATCGCCTTCCATAGCGCCCACGTTAGCCAACGAGTCCGCTTTCTCATTACCCGGAATTGAGCAATAAGATGGGACCCAAGCTAAGGTGATAGTATAGGAGCAGTTGGATAAAGCACTCAGTTTAGATCGTATTTCAGGCAGGAAATACGAGGAGTGCTTCATTGGCCTCATTGAACGAATAGCCTCCAATGAGCTAAGGCTATCCGTAAAATTAAATAATGGTCAGAAGGTAGTGAGGCAACATATACGGAACAGGGTTTTTGCAGTTGATAAGAGGCGCTATGAAATTCGTTGAATACTCCAAATCCAGTGGAAGCGTTTATAAAGGGTGATACGGTCAAAATTTGGTCAAGGGAAAACGCGTGTAAAACGGTGAAATCGTTTATTTAAAAAATCAAATTAAATTTCTTTTTCAAGTTCAATTAGTATAAAATTCAGGAAAAATATTCAGTTAGGCTTCCGCTTTTCCAAATCCGAATTGCCGGGCCTTACGCTTGACCCCTGCCATCAGATTTTGTACAGCCACCTTGTCCACCTTCTTCGCCGCAGAAAGCCAGTTTGCCTTGAACTGCTGCTCGCCCTTAGCAGTTTTTTTGGTCTTCTTTAGGTTCCGCTTGACAATAGCCCAGTATTTCTCAATTGGGCGGAGCTCTGGCGTGTTGGGAGGGTTCTTGTCCTTGGGAACCACCTGCACGTTGTTGGCGGCGTACCACTCCATGGCCTTTTTACCGTAATGGCAAGATGCCAAATCCGGCCAAAACAGTACGGAACAACCGTGTTTCTTCAGGAAAGGCAGCAGACGTTTATTCAAACACTCTTTCACGTAAATTTCTTGGTTGACAGTCCCGGAAGCTATGAAAATGCTGCTTTTCAAGCCACAGGTACAGATGGCTTGCCAAACCAGATATTTCTTTGCGAACTTTGACAGTTTCATGTGCTTGAAAACATCTGCTACCTTTCCCCTTCCTTTTGCCGTATAAAACTCCTGTCCCGGAAGCTGCTTGTAGTCGGCTTTGACGTAGGTTTCGTCGTCCATTACCACGCAGTCAAACTTCGTCAGCATCGTCGTGTACAGCCTCCGGGATCGCGCTTTGGCCGTCGTATTTTGTTTATCATCGCGATTTGGAGTCACTACCTTCTTGTAAGTCGATAGTCCGGCTCGTTTTTTGGCTCGATGCACGGTTGTAGACGATACACCCAGCTTATTTGCGGCATCTCGGAGAGAGAGGTTAGGGTTTCGCTTGAAACTACCGGCAACCCTCTTTGTCGTCTCAGCGGCTTCCGGTTTTCGATTTCCCCCCGATCCAGACTTCCTGGCTGTCGACAAACGTTCCCCAAACACTTTAATTACATTTGTAACGGTTGATTTGGCAACTTTTAGCGATTTTGCCAACTTTGCGTGCGAGTAGCTCGGATTTTCGCGATGCGCGAGCAAAATTTTGATACGCTGCTCTTCTTGCTTGGACGGCATTTTGACAACTGAAGAGTGAATTCCAAAATCAAAATAGGAGCAACATTCTACACACACACACCTTCAAAATGAGGGGTGTTCAGGTTTTTTAATTGCAAATTTGAAAGAAATACGTCAAGTTGATATTGACCAAATTTTGACCGTATCACCCTTTAGTTGACCCATCTGTGAAAAAACTCCTATTGTTACTGACATGGTGGTACTTGTTTGCAAAAATTAAGGAAACAACCATCGACCGATGGTGATCTGGTATTCCACGGACATTGTCAGATCAAAATTTACAGAGGAACTATAAAAGTCTTGGAAGCAAACACGATTCGAATTGTACGAAGAAGGGCCAATCTCCAGCGTCATGTACTCATAATAGAGACTCATGAATCTTGTTTGAGGATTTCTGTCGAGCAGCTTCTCAAAGTTTTCTATTACCAATGGGTTCATTACTTCACAACGGATAAGAAACCGGAAGAACAGTTCCGCGAAACGATCTGTCAGTGTACTTCGAGGCTCATCGTATGCGTCGAGTGCATACAACCAAGCGCGATTCGGAGGCAACGGTATTGAACCCGTTGCATGACCCAATCTTGATCATGAAAGTTTGCCTAAGATGTCAAAAAATGGTCTAGAAAATTTTTCATGCTCTCGACATTTTTTCAACTTTGGCTAGAAATTTGAACATCTTTGAAATCGGGTAGTATTGTATTTTTTCCGGACTTGTAATCCGGAATCAAAACGTTTCCAGGGCCAGGTTTTAGTAAAAAAAATGCTATGTCCAACATATCATAACGGTTAGGTAAGGTTTTCTTTATTAAGGAGGTTTTCAGCCTTGGGCTGGTTCGCCTCCGGGGAATATCATAACATGTTTGCAATGTTTTAAATTTTTCAAGAACATTCTATACGTTCAAAATATCGAAACTTATTCCAGGCCGCACAGTTTTCTCAACTTGTTTGCCTTAGAGATCTCGAATTTTTAAATCCCTGCAATTGAAAAATGGTCCAAAAACTCTAAAATGTATCCCTGAATCACAAATTTTTCATGATCTAGATTTTAAGTTCTAGACGCATGAGTGAAAAATATGTTCGTGATATGTCCGTTTTGGAGAATTTTCCTCGTTCCAGCATAATCTACTGCAATCTGCAATCTAGAAAAGTTCTCTAGGTCCCAGAGTTATAAAAAAATGGTGTTACAGAAGTCTCTATATCCTAGATCTTTAAAATTGACTGTCCTAAAATTGTAAAAAAAAATCTTAATCCGTGACTTTGAACATTTTTTTTCTTTTTTTCTTTACGCCTAAATTTTTCGTTCTAATCATCAAATTGATATCTGCTTCTAACATCAACTTAGTAAATTATTTGGAAATGAGTTTGAAGAGTGAGACAATTGAGGTTGGAATTGGACCGGGCTCTCATATATTCAATTCAGACCTATTTTTCAAGATCAAATTTATGGGAACCTTAAGGGGAAAGGGAAGTTATTAATTTTTGGAAGTTCAAAAGCAGTGTTGGCAAAATCAGAAATCAATTGATATTTTTCCGCTCTCATGCGCTCGCAATATCACGCGTGATAATGGAACAAAATATCATGC